GGCGCACCGGTAGGAACAGCAGCGGCTCGACAGTAGGGCGGCTCGGCGGCTCGGCGGCAGGGCGGCTCGGCTGCTCGGCGGCTCGGCTGCTGGGCGGCTCGGCGGCTGGGCGGCTCGGCTGCTGGGCGGCTCGGCGGCTCGGCGGCTCGGCTGCTGGGCGGCTGGTCTGCTGGGCAGCTCGGCTGCTCGGCGGCTCGGCTGCTGGGCGGCTTGGCTGCTGGGCGGCTTGGCTGCTGGGCGGCTCGGCTGCTGGCCAGTGGGCGGCTCGGCTGCTGGGTTGCTCGGCGGCTCGGTCGCTGGGCAGCTGAGCGGCGACAGGGCCGCTAGAGGAGGGCGGCGGGGCCGCAGGTGACGGCAATGGGGCCGCAGGTGGCGGCGACGGGGCCGCAGGTGGCGGCTGCGTGGCCGTAGGTGGCGGCGACAAGGCCGCAGGGGGCGGCAACGGGGCCGCAGGTGGCGGCGACGGGGCCGCAGGTGGCGGCGACGGGGCCGCAGGTGATGGCGACGGGGCCGCAGGTGGCGGCGACGGGGCCGCAGGTGGCGGCGACGGGGCCGCAGGTGACGGCGACGGGACCGCAAGTGGCGGCGACGGGGCCGTAGGTGGCGGCGACGGGGTCTCAGACGGGCCGCAGAGGGGCTGCAATGGGCCTAGACAGGGCCGCAGAGGGGGCCGCAAGGGGCCTAGACGGGGCCGAAGAGGGGCCGCAAGGGGCCGAAACGGGGCGGCAACGGGGCTGTAAGGGGCCAGAAAGGGCGCCGCGAGGGGCCGAAAGAGGGCCGCGCGAGGGCCATAAGGGCGGCGCGAGGGGCCGTAAGGGGCCGTAAGGGCGGCGCGAGGGGCCGTAGAGGGCGGCGTTAGGGGCCGTAAGGGCGGCGTAACGGGCCGTGAGAGGGGCCACTAAGGGCAGCGCGAAGGTAGGGAGGGCACACAGAGCGCGACTCGGGCAGGAGTGAAGCGCGCTCCGGGCAGGAAAAAAAATCGTGGTGGGCCCTAGGTAGCGTTCCCCTTTAGGGAACCTGCTCGATACCATGATAAGAAACGAGGAAGGAATGCATTGAGCAGAATGAGGAGTACAAATAGTAAACCCTAAAGTGTCGTACCCCATATGAACTGCCCCACTACAGCCTACACAGACTATAGCATATATGCCTGACAGAAACTTGACGGCGTGCCAACATTGCACCCGTAGGACAGCAGTGCACCTGCTTGGCAGGTGCTTGCAAATGATTGGGGTGTTGTGCCTCGTCACCTGCTCAATGCACACACCAAATCGTCCTCGTGCCGACGATTGCACCTGATCAGCCACGTCAACCTCGGGATACACACCGAGGTTGGCCTCGCCACGAACACCTGGGCGACCGTCGCAGTTCTCCGCAGATGCCCGTCGCCCAGGTCACCTGGTCGACCGGGCAACCACCTCGTCGACCGGCTCCTCCTCGTGCCCCGCGACCTCGTTGGTCGAGGACCACCTCAAGTCGATCAACTCCAGGTCGACCACGCTCCTGGTCGACCAACTCCAGGTCGACTACGCTCCTGGTCGACCAACTCGAAGTCGACCAGCCCAGCTGCCAACCAACCACGCTAAGTCGGCTACCCCAAGTCTGCGTCCTCAAGTCGACGCCTCCGAGGTCGACCTCGCCCGGTCGACCACCCACACTCGGCGCCCTCCGAAGTCGCCGCCCTTGCACTGACCCCTGTACAGGGCGACCAGCCCTGTCGACCAGCTCGCCCACTGCTATGGGTCGGCTGCACCTTCCACACACCCGACCACGAGGTCGGCTCCGCCCAAGCGAGGACGGGGCCTAACACAACTCCCATTGACATTAGTCTTAGTACCACTCATAGTAACGCACATACTTTTAGTACCACTCATATGGCTAAGTAATGCACATACTCTTACTACCAGATATATCGTTAAATATTGCTTTTACTCTTAGATCCACTGATATCATTAAATAACGCACTTACTTTTACTACCACTCGTATCACCGTGTAATGCACTTACTCTTAGTACCATGCATATAGCTTAGAACGCATTTACTCTTAGTACCACTCATATGGCTAAGTAACGCACTTACTCTTAGTACCACTCGTATGGCTAACAAACGCATATACTTTTAGTACCACTCATATAGCTAAGTAACAGACATACTTTTAGTGCCACTCATTTGGCTAAGTTACGCACCTAGACTTTGACAAAGTTTAAGGAAGAAAGAGAGATTGAACTAGCAGGAATGAGGATACAAATAGCAAAACCCTAGAAGGGTTGTACTCGCTATAGAGCACCCCACTACAGGCTAGAACATAAGATAATATTCTGACAGACTTAGTACCACTCATACAGCTAGGTAACGCACTTACTCTTTGTGCCACTCATATTGTATTGTAACGTGCTTATTCTTAGTACCGCTCATATGGCTAAGTAACGCACTTAATGTTAGTACAACTCATACGGCTATGGTAACGCACTTACACCTAATACCACTCATAAGGCTAAGTAACGCACTTACTCTTAGTGCAGCTCATATTGTTAAGTAACGCACTTACTCTTAGTACCACTCATATGGCTAAGTAACTCACTTACTCTTAGTACCACTCATATGGCTAAATAACGCACTTACTTTGAGTACCACTTGTGTTGCTTAGTGACGCACTTACTCTTAGTACCACTCATATGGCTAAGTATCGCACATAGTCTTAGTGCCACTCATATAGCTCAGTAACTCACTTACTGTTGCTATTATTCGTTTGGCTAAGTAGCGCACATACTTTTAGTACCACTCATATGGCTAAGTTACCCTCCAAGCCTTCCTTAGTACCACTCGTATGGCTATATAACGCACTTATTCTTAGTACGATTCATACGGCTGACTAACGCTCTTACTCTTAATACTACTCATACAGCTAAGTAACCCCCTTACTCTTAGTGCAACATATATTGTTAAGTAACTCACTTACTTTTAGTACCACTCGTATGGCTAAATAACGCACTTACTCTAAGTACCACATGTGTTGCTTGGTGATGGGCTTACTTTTAGTACCACGCATATGACTAAGTAACGCATTGACTTTTAGTACCACACATACGGCTAAGTAAGACACAACTCTTAGTACTACTCATATCGTTAAGTAATGACTTACTCTTAGTAGCACTCATATGTCTGAGTAACGCACTTACTCTCAGTACCAATTATACAACTCAGTATGCTTACTGTTGCTACCATTCGTATGGCTAAATAGCGTACATACTTTTAGTACCACTCATATGGCTAAGTTACGCACATAATCTAAGTACCACTCATGTGGCTAAGTAACACACTTGCACTTAGTACCACTCATACAGCTAAATGATGCACGAACTCTTAGTACCACTTATACGGCTAAGCAACCCACTTACTTTTAGAACCGCTCATATGGCTAAGTGACACACTTACTCTTTGTACCACTCATATGGCTAACTGACACATTAAAATTTAGTAATACACATATGGCTAAGCAATGCACATAGTCTTAGTAGCACGCATGTCGCTAAGTAACGCACTCCACTCACATATCTAAGTAACGCGCTTACTCTTAGTACCACTCAAATCGTTAAGTAACGCACTTACTCTTAGTACTAGTCATACGGCTAAGCAATGCACTTACTACTAGTACCATGTATAATGCTTAGATGCACTCTTACTATCACTCATATTGTTTAGTAACGTACATACTTTTAGTACTATTCAAACAGCTAAGTAACGTGCTTGGTCCTAGTACCAGTCATATAGCTAAGTATTGCACTTACTATTTGTACCACTCATATCGCTAAGTAACGCACTGTGAGAACATTATAGCTTATACATTTGTGTAGGCTGTAGTGGGGTAGCCCATAAGGGGTACAACCCAATTAGGGTTAGTACTTGTACCCAACTGTTTCATAGTTCAATCATTCTCGTTCTAATGTTCACATGGTATAGAGCAGGTTCCCCCGTGGGAACTGTTCCTAGGGCCCACCGACCTTTTTTTTCCTGCCCGGAGCGCGCTTGGCCCCTGCCCAAGTCGCGCCCCGTGTGACTCCCCTTCGTGGCCTCTAGCGGCCTCCCTCACGGCCCCTAGTGGCCCCCTCGCGCCGTCCTCACGGCCCCGTCGCGCCGCCCTTGCGGCCCTCTTCGCACCGCCCTTGCGGCCCCTTTCCGCGGCCCCGTCGCCGCCCTTTCAGCGACCCCGTCGCCGCCCTTTCCGCGGCCCCATCGCCGCCCTTTCAGCGGCCCCGTCGCCGCCCTTCCACGGCCTCGCCGCCCGCCCTTGCAGCGGCCCCGTCGCCGCCCTTCCACGGCCCCGACGCCGCCCTTCCGCGGCCCCGTCGCCGCCCCTCCGCGGCCCCGACGCCGCCCTTCCACGGCCCCGTCGCCGCCCTCCAGCGGCCCCTTCGCCGCCCGTCCGCGGCCCCGTCGCCGCCCTTTCAGCGGCCCCGTCGCCGCCCTTTCAGCGGCCCCGTCGCCGCCCGCCCTTTCAGCGGCCCCATCGCCGCCCTTCCGCGGCCCCGTCGCCGCCCTTCAGCGGCCCAATCGCCACCCTTCCGCAGCCCCGTCGCCGCCCTTTCAGCGGCCAGTCGCCGCCCTTTCAACGGCCCGTCGCCGCCCTTTCAGCGGCCCCGTCGCCGCCCTTCCGCGGCCCCGTCGCCACTCAGCCGCCCAGCGCCAGAGCCGCCGAACCGCCCAGCCGCCGAGCAACCGAGCCGCCGAGCAGCCGAGCCGCCGAGCAGCCGAGCCACCGAGCAGTCAAGCCGCCGAGCAGCCGAGCCGCCCTACAGCCGAGCCGCCCGACCGCCGAGCCGCCCTGCAGCCGAGCCACCCGACCGCCGAGCCGCCCAGCAGCCGAGCCGCCGAGCCGCACCGCAGCCGAGGCGCTTCCGCCTGTCGGCCTGCCCGGGACCGCCCCACTTGCCTGGTAAGAGCAGCGCCTCTACCACTTCACTGCCCTGCCCCACTGTACTCACTGCCTGTCGACTGCTGTCATGGCCTCCCCTAGTGTTCTCACCTTTGACGCTGAGGGTCGGGCAGTTGACTTTGAGGTCTGGGTAGATGATCTGCAACTTTTCCTACAGTGCGATCGGGCAGACGGGCTCTCCTTGTTTGACCTCACTTTTGGTGCCTCTCCTGCCCCTGCTGCTGATGCTGACGCCACTGTTCGCTCACAGTGGGCCACGCGTGATGCCGCTGCTCGCCTTGCTGTGCGCCGCCACTTACCGACCACTGAGCGTGCACACTTTAGCCAGTACAAGAGTGCTCAGACCTTGTACGACGCTGTAGTTGCACGCTACTCTTCCCCTGCCACTGCTGCACTGAGCTGCCTCATGCTACCATACCTCTTCCCTGACCTCGCTGCCTTTCCCACAGTCGCTGACCTCATTACGCACCGACGCACTAGTGACACTTGCTACCGCGCTGCGCTTCCTGCTGAGTTCTGCGCCAAGAACCCCCCCCCCCCCCCCCATGTACATCACCCTCTACTACATAGTCACCCGGCTCCCTCACTCTCTCCGCATAGTCAGGGACCACTTCCTCTCAGTTTGCCCCACCACTCTCACCGTTGACCTCCTCGAGAAGGCCCTCCTAGCAGCAGAGACGAGTATAGTCGTTGTAGGAGGCTCTCGTGGTGACCCTCGCACCCCCATCTTTGAGGGGTGTTCTCCCTCCCCCCGATTGCCCTCTATTGCCTCTGCTGCTGCGGCCGACCTCGTTGGTTTCGAGTCGGTCGGCGCTGCGTCTGCCCCGAGCGGGAGACGCCGCACCGGCAAGGGCAAGGGGGGCAAGGGCACTGGAGGGGCTGGCGGGGGCGGTGGAGGTGGTGGTGGAGGCAGTGGAGGGAGTGGGGGTGGTGGTGGGAGTGGTGCCGGGGGTGGTGGCGGCGGCGGCAGCAGTGGAGGCGGCGGAGGCGGCGGTGGTGGCGGAGGGAGCGGAGGCGGCGGAGGTGACGGAGGAGGCGGAGGTGGAGGAGGCTGCGGAGGCGGCGGCGGCGGCGGAGGCGATGGTGGAGCGGGTCGCGACTCTGCGCAGAGGAGTGGCTCAGGTGGTGGTCCGCGCCAGCAGCAGTGGAGTGGTGTGACCCTGTCCCCTCAGCAGCTTCGTGAGTGGTACACTGCGCGCCAGCGCGGTGGGGGTTTTGGTCCCTACACTTACGTCCTCCGTACCGGTGACCGAGCTGGTGAGCAGTGCGGGGGCTCGCACTCCACCCAGCGCTGCTTCGGTCGCCTGACGGATGCGTGGCGTCGCCAGTTCCCTGAGGCGTCAGAGATCCCTCGCTGGGGAGATCTGTCTAGGGCGGGGGTTGCCGTCTTTGATCTTGACTATGATGCTATCCTTGGTGCCATGTATTCTGTGACTACTAGTGTTGAGGGTGACTTTTACCTGTGTGTACCGCCTGACCCGGGCATTGAGGCCACTGCTCTAGGTGCTGGTGAGGCTGCAGCTCTAGGTGCTAGTGTGTCTACTGCCCCAGGTGCCAGTGCGTCTGCTGTCCCAGGTGCCAGTGCGTCTGCTGCCCCAGGTGCTGGTGAGTCTGCCCTCTCAGGTACTACGTCGGCTCAGGCCTTCCACACCTTCACCCTTGACTCGGGTGCGTCCCGCTCCTTCTTTTGAGACCGCACCACTCTTACGCCGCTCAGTCGGCCGGTTGCAGTCTCCCTGGCAGACCCCTCTGGGGGTCCTGTCCTTGCTAGCTTCTCCACTGTCTTACCGTGCGCGGCAGCCCCCTCTGGCACCCTGTCAGGTCTCTACCTTCCCTCATTCTCTACGAACTTGGTGAGTGGAGCGGACCTACAAGATAGGGGGGTTGACCAGTTCACTCCTGCGAGTCAGCGAGTGACCCACTGCACGTGTGCCCGGACAGGCCAACACTTGGCCACGTTCACTCGTCGGCCAGGGTCGAGCCTGTACACCCTTACTACTGAGTCTCCTCCGGGTGTTGAGTCTGGCCAGGTAGCTGCGTCGAGTCAGGTGTTTGCTGCAGCGTCTAGGTCTGGTCCTGAGTCTGCTCCCTGCTCGTGTCGTCTGCTGTCCCACCAGACTCTCCTCTGGCACCACCGCCTTGGTCACCCCTCCCTGCCTCGTCTCCGAGGCATGGCCTCCCGTGTCCTTGTCTCTGGTCTCCCTCGGTCTCTCCCTCCCCTACCTCCAGGGCCTGGCCCTACCTGCGTCCCCTGCGTCAAGGGGCGACAGCGCGCCGCCCCTCACTCCTCCGAGTTTCCTCTTACAGAGGCTCCGCTACAGACCCTCCACATGGACGTGTGGGGCCCCGCCCGCGTCCGTGGACAGGGGCACGAGCGTTACTTCCTGTTGGTGGTTGACGACTACTCGCGTTACACCATAGTCTTTCCCTTGCGCAGCATGACAAAATTAGAAGAAAGAAAGAGGGTTGAACTAGCAGAAATGGGGATACAAATAGCAAACCCTAGAAGGGTTGTACTCGCTATAGAGCACCCCACTACAGGCTAGAACATAAGATAATATTCTGACACAGCAAGGGTGACGTCACTGAGGTGTTGATCGACTGGATCCGCGCAGCTCGTCTCCAGCTCAGAGAGAGTTTCGGCTCAGACTTTCCTGTTCTGCGTCTGCACTCGGACAGAGGCGGGGAGTTTTCCTCTGCCCGTCTGGGAGCCTTCTGTCGTGCACAGGGCATCCGCCAGACCTTCACGCTTCCGACCTCTCCACAGCAAAATGGGATTGCTGAGCGCTGCATTGGCATGGTCATGGACGTCGCTCGTACGTCCATGATGCATGCGGCTGCCCCCCATTTTCTGTGGCCGTTTGCGGTTCAGTACGCCGCGCATCAGCTCAACCTTCAGCCCCGGGTCTCCTTGCCAGAGACCTCCCCCGCCTTGCGGTGGACGGGGAAGGTTGGCGATGCGTCTGCGTTTTGGGTCTGGGTATCTCGGTCGTTTGTCCGCGACTTGTCTGCGGACAAGTTGTCCCCCCGTGCTGTTCCCTGCGTCTTCCTTGGCTTCCCCCCTAACGCGCCTAAGTGGCAGTTTTACCACCCCACCTCGCGCCGTGTTCTCTCCTCCGAGGACGTCACCTTTGACGAGTCGGTGCCTTACTACCGTCTCTTCCCCTACCGCACTGCGCCCCCCCCCCCCCCCCCGCCGCCGCTCTTCCTTGCACAAGGTCCTCCCCCGGTAGACCCCCTCCCCCCTCAGGGTCCTGCCCCGTCAGGTGTGTCCCAGGTAGACGCAGTTGAGCCTGTCGAGGTAGCTGCTAGAGGTGCTGAGCCTGCGGGTGCCGGGTCTGGGGCTGCGGAGACTGGGGGTGCTTAGTCTGGGGGTGCTGAGACTGGGGGTGCTGGGTCTGGGGGTGCGGAGCCTGGGGGTGCGGAGCCTGGAGGTGCGGAGCCTGGGGGTGCCGAGCCTGGGGGCGCTGGGTCTGCTCGTGTGGCCGCCGGCGGTGCTTTGTCGAGGCAAGAGCCACTCTCTCCACAGGAGTTGCGCGAGTGGTTTGCCCGCCGCTGGAGACGTGCTGCTGAGACTGGGGGTGCTGCTGGGGCTACTGGAGTTGGTCCTGCTGGAGCTGCTAGCGATACTAGTGCTGGTGAAGCTGGAGCTGCTGGGGGTGTTGGCGCTGGTGTTTCTACTGGTGCTGGTGCGTCTGGGGGTGCTGCTGGGGCTGCTAGAGCTGACGGTCCTACTGGAGTTGGTGCTGCTGGAGCTGGAGCTGCTGGGGGTGTTGGCGTTGGCGGTGCTGCTGGTGCTGGTGCTTCTGAGGGTGCTGGAGTTGGCGCTGTTGGAGCTGGAGGTGCTACTGGCGCTGGTGCTGCCGCTTGGGGTACTGGTGCCGTCCCTGCTGGTTCTGGAGGCGCTGAGCGGCCGAGGCCGTACTTCGTTCCGCTCCTGGAGCAGGTTCTTGTTCTCCCGCCCTCTCCTGGTCCTGCTCCTTCCTTAGAGTGTCCACAGCCTGTCCAGTCGCAGTCACAGTTACAGCCCGCCTCCCCTCTACCTGCTCCTTCTCCCTACACTGGTCCTACTGGAGGTCTTGCTGAGCGTCGTGCGCCTGCGTCTCGTCCTGCGTCGCCTGTTCGTAGTGCTCGCACTACTGGTCGTACTGCGCGTCCGCGTCCTCCTGCGGTCCCCGGCACACACCAGATGGCACTGTGTCCTTCCACTGCTCCTCTGCGTGTCCCGTTGCCGTCTCCTCCAGAGTCCTCTCTTCCTACTCTTGCTGACCCGGAGTCTGACTCCCTTCGTGCTGCCAGTCCTTCGATCACGCGTCTCCTTGCTACTGTTGTCACTGACCCTTCCTTTGAGTCCACTGCTGCGTCTACCCTAGTTGCTCAGCTTGTCGACTTTGCTGCTCGCTGTCGTCTAGACTACGCTGCCTGTCTCGTTGCTGAGTCTGAGTCTGTCTGTCCTCCATCCGTCGGGGGTGAGTGTGCTCTTAGCACGGACGTCCTTGAGGACAGGCACGAGGAGTTCCAGTGCGTTGCTGCTGCTTTGCCCCATCTCGTGTCCACACTGAGTGCCCCTGAGGGAGACCCGGATGCACCAGACATCCCGACTCCTCGATCGTACGCTGAGGCGATCGAGGGTCCCTACTCCTCTCAGTGGCAGTCAGCCATGGATGAAGAGATGGCTTTCTGGAAGTCCACAGGCACCTACGTCGACGAGGTTCCACCACCTGGGGCGAACATCGTCAGTGGCATGTGGATTTTTAGGGTGAAGCGGCCGCCGGGTTCTCCGCCTGTCTTCAAGGCGCGTTATGTGGCTTGAGGCTTCAGTCAGCGGCAGGGAGTTGACTACTTCCAGACCTTCTCTCCCACCCCGAAGATGACCACTCTTCGGGTGTTGCTGCACATAGCCGCTCAGCGCGACTACGAGCTTCACTCTCTTGACTTCAGCACAGCTTTCCTGCAGGGAAGCCTGCACGAGGAGATCTGGCTGCGCCGCCCAGTTGGCTTCACTGGGTCGTTTCCCCCTGGTACCCAGTGGAGCCTCCGGCGGCCAGTCTACGGTCTCCGCCAGGCACCCCGTGAGTGGCACAACACACTGAGGACTACACTTGCGGCTCTTGGGTTTGCTCCCTCTACTGCCGACCCGTCGCTGTTTCTGCGCACCGACACTTCTTTGCCGCCGTTCTACATCCTCGTGTACGTCGACGACTTGGTCTTTGCCACTGCTGACACTGCTGGACTCGCCTACGTGAAGTCCAAGCTGCAAAAGAGACACACGTGCACAGACCTGGGTGAACTGCGCAGCTACCTTGGCTTGCAGATCACCCGAGACAGAGCACAGCGCACCATTACCCTGACTTAGTCACACATGGTGCAGCAGGTCCTTCAGCGCTTCGGCTTCACGTACTCCTCGCCTCAGGCCACTCCTCTGTCTACTCGCCACTCGCTCTCAGCTGTGCCTTTGGATGAGTCCGTAGAGCCGAGTGGCCCGTACCCAGAGCTTGCTGGCTGCCTTATGTACCTGATGACCTGCACACGACCTGACCTTGCATACCCTCTTAGCATCTTGGCACGCTATGTTGCTCCTGGGAGACACCGACCAGAGCACATGGCTGCAGCGAAGAGGGTGTTGCGCTACGTGTGCAGTACGTCGGGCATGGGGCTAGTGCTTGGAGGGCGACGTCGAGTGGTCCTCACAGGTCACGCTGGCGCTTCTTGGGCTGACGACCAGGCTCTGCAGCGGTCGTCACAGGGTTACACCTTCAGCCTTGGCTCCGGCTCTGTTTCGTGGCGGTCTACCCGCTCGTCCTCTGTTCTCAGCTCTAGCTGTGAGGCTGAGATCTACGCACGGGCCATGGCTGCACAGGAGCTACGCTGGCTCACCTACCTGTTGAGTGACCTAGGAGAGCCGCCTCGTTCTCCTCCAGTTCTGTACGTAGATAACAAGGCCATGCTGGCCTTGTGTCGGGAGCACAGACTGGAGCACAGAACGAAGCACATTGCTCTCCGCTACTTCCTGGCTCGTGAGCTGCAGCAGCGTGGTCAGCTCCGCCTCACCTACGTGGCCTGTGAGGCCAACACTGCTGATATCTTCACCAAGGCCCTTCCGCCTTGTGATCATCAGCGCTTCTGTACTTTGCTAGGTCTTGTGCCTACCTTGCCTC